ATAAAAGTCTCCAGGTGGGGGTCTTGAGAGTGACCCAAGGTCACATCGAAGGTGACACCACAACACAAAACATGGCTCCCTTTCAGCTCACCTGCACCCAGAAGTGCGGTCAACACCTATTTATATTTCTAAATCTGCATTGTTACACTTGCTCCCAGTTTTGTGGGAGTTGGTATGCTGTTCTCACCCGAACCCACCTCTCCTCTCCTCTCCTCCGTAGTTCTCTTTCCGCCCACCCCAGACATTAACCCACGCAAGAGTTTTACTGAATTATCCCCCAACCCAACATCCAGACCTTGTTCTTTTCCATACATTTTTGGTCGTGGTGATAGCTGGAGAATGATTAGAGTAAGCAACAAAAAAATTTAAAGGGTGTTCTAGTGGATATCAAAACTTTGGAAGCCTAAGAGATATATGTCTGCCCTCTAAACATTTTTCTCTCCCTATCCTTATTACTACAGAGGCAAAATTAAAGTACCACATTCCCCCTGTTCTATGTAACCTAGGTTCTCCTTTACTGATAGGTTTGGCCCTCACAATTGTTCTTTATGTCATATAAACCCCTCAGAAGTTCTGACTGGCATCCCAGTCCAGTAGGAATGTAGAGATAACTCCTGAGACACGAATTTCTTCTCTGAACATACCTGAGTCTCTCAGTCAAATGAAATCAGCAAGTTCAGCTAAGACCAAGTTTGGGCCCCTTATGCCTGTAGGTTCTGATTTTGCCATGACTTAAATGAATGATCAGGCTCAGGGAAATCCGGTTACAACAGCAGACTCAAATGCCACATCTAAGGGTGGGAGTGTCCTATCACTGCCATGTTCTCTTTGACCTACAAGGTCTGGTCCTGCCCACTTCCAGCAGGGACTAGATGTGTTTCCTTGAGAGGCTAATGTCTAAGGGGATTGCCTCTCAGGGGCCAGGCATGAAACTCTCTTACATATTGAGAAAGAACATCAGGGAAATAAAAAATAAAAGCAAACGAAGTGTGTGATCTAAATTAGACTTTTCCATCAATTCATGGTATCCACTGAGGTACTTTTCCACTCTAAGAGCAGAACATATATCAGAGATAGAAACAAAAACTTTTAGTCTTCACCACTACTTGAACGTTTCCCTCGAGTGCCTGAACAATGTAGGAGATGATGAAGTTTGTAGGCTGTGGGTAAGATCACAAGTTCTGGAATCAGACCTCTGCATTCCAACCCCATGCCTTCTTCACTCCTATGAGCTGAGTGACGTGGTGATAAGGATCTCATCTTCTCAGTGTCTTAGCTTTTTCATCTGTGAAATAGAGGAAATTTCAGTAGCTGACTCAGGTGTTGGAATGAGGAACTATGGTCAGTGATCAATAAACATTAGCTGGTTTTTTTAAAGTTGGGTATTATTGTCTCATTCATTCAACAAACTGATTAATCATATCTTCTTTAACAGCTACATTTTTTACAAATTTTTACTTAGACACAGATTTTTAAACTTACAAGTCCCACATGGTCTTCACCATCTTTTAGTTTGGCTTCTTTTGTCCCTTTCATCCCATTTGGAAAGACAATTTTGTTGGGAAAATATGATTGAGGAATTAATGAGATGTGGTTCATAGACCATTATTCTATTGTATAATCCAATATTACTATGTTAAAGACAGAAACAGGAGTTTGCAGAGTTTTGCCCAGAAGGAATGTGTGGACTCAATGGTTCACTTATTAGAGGCTGCTCTCTTAGGAGAGCTCTCAAATCTCTGATAGGGATGTTATCCAGGAAGACTTCCCAGTATCTAAAAATCTGTGAGCTTCCCTGTGTCTTGAAAGACAAGAGAAGGCAAACATGGCCCACAGGATGGGAGCTGGAGACAATGAGGGCACTTTGCCCAGAGAAGTGCCCCGGTGGTTATAAACAACTGTTTTATTAGAGATGGGCTTCCTGCTCTCTCCTATCTGTCTACATTTAACTCCACCATAACTAATCAAAGACATATTGAGTCACTATACCTCTTTTGTTTTACCTTTGTTAATTGAAAACTACCTCTTAGAATTTAGAAGCTAGCCCCTAAAAGACTTTGTACCTGTTTGTTCACCTAGATACATTAAAAGCCCCTTAAGGGGACTTTTGACCCTAACCCACTACCTGTATCCCCTAGCAACTGCATTCTCTGATATGCAAATATGTTACCATGACAACTGGTAATTGATGTATTTGACTATAAAAACCCGTATGAATCTAACCATAAGGTTGGCGGTTATGGGGATCAATCAGTCCCCTAGGAACCTCCCGCTGTGTTATAGCTGATATATATATATATATATATATATATATATATATATATATATATAACTATAAACTATACCTTAGTCTTTGTGTATTCTTTTATTTTCTCTCTGTTGCCTATCAATTTCCTTACCCTCTGTGGCAACCCCTATCATAGGGACCTGACACCCTAGGAAGAAGTAGCTAATCTCCTCAAGGGCGTGCCTCAAATGCTCTTGCCCCACAAATTTAGTCTCTCCACTGAGCCTTTTCCTAGGTACAGTTCTTTCTGTAAAAGGTACTTATATCAAGTTAATCTTTCCTACATGTCTGCCACCTCAGTAAACTTTCCTCTCCTTTAAATTTTCATTACTGCCACTAGATTTGGGGTGACTTTCCTAAAAAACCTTGGTCATTTGACCAGTTACTAAACTTAAAAGAAAATTTCTCCTGAACTCTCCATTCTCATCCTAATTGGCACAATATGTCAGAATGGTTAGGGGTACAGTCTAAGTCTTGAAGAACAAATTTAAGAGAAGGGAACAGGAATGGAGGTGGTGGGAAAGGACATAACCTGAGACCTCAAGATTTTCAGTTCTCCTCTGACTCTTCTTTTCATGTAAGGAGCTGGTGCTTTCAAAAGATACTAAACCAAGAGAGTGAATGGTTAATAAATGCTAACAGAGTTTTGTTGAAAACATTGAGAAGAAAGGTGGACTCTGTCACACTGAGCATTTGTAATTAAATCAGAGAAGTTAGAAATCTCCTAGGAAGGAAGCTATGATGATGAATGGGTTGCTAGATGGATCTAGTACATAGTGGCCATACTGTGTAGCTACCTGTGCATGATCACTCTTACATGTTACTCCCCAACCTGTGCCTTTTCAGAGTCTTCTCCACCAGAGGTCATCTCTCTAAGGAAAGGAGAAACATCTCCAACATTTTTGGTTCTAGCATAAGAGAAGGGCCCAAACACACACCTGCTAAAGAAATCATCTCTTGTACTTAGCAGCATGACCATGGAGGCACTGCTGGTTCTATCACTGGGAACTCAGGTTTCGGGGGCTCCAGTACCTCTACTGGCCAATACCACATCCTATGGTTCCCACCCCGTACACTGGGTTCCCACTCTGGGCTGGAACAGATGGTCGCTCTGAGTCACCAGCTGTGGCTACTGGTGTGGTCACCACATGATTCTCACAATTATCTAGAAGGCATTATCAGGTAGAGACAGTGGGGTGAGGAGCTTTCATAGAAAACCTTCTGTGATGGAACACCACAAAACCAGAGCGAACACGAGGTCACTGAGCCCACCCCACCTCCTTCCTCTCAAGGGGGCTAAAAGGGAGCAAGGAGGGCACACCAGCAGCTCCGACCTGGGCAGCCTTCCTGATGCAGCTGCTCCTGCTCCTGCTGGCCTTCTTCCTGCCCCTCGGGGCACAGGCAGGTGAGTGACTGTCCCCAGCCTCAGAGGCCCAAGCCCATCCCACAGATCTCCTGCCCCTTCTGCACCTGCCTGATCATTCTATCTACCTGGGACATCCTGAATCCCAGCTCCAGTCCCTCTGCAGACCCCCCAAGCATGATGCTGGGTGAGCTCTCAGCAGGAATGCCAGGGCACCAGACTGTTCTCAGGAAGAGCCAGTGGGCACCATCCCCTCCCCAGGTGTCACCCTTGTCATCTAGAAACGCGTGGCAGAGGGTGGGAACCTGGATATGAGAAAATATCAAATTATCCTAGAGAGGGCAGGGTGGGCCCTGCTCCTGTGTCTGGGATAAAGACGTTGTTCCCTCACTGTCTGTCAAAGACAAGCTCAGAGATCCGCTGACCCAGAACTGGCAGTGTCACTCTCCTCCGAACACAGTTTTGTCTTTGCTTAGTCTCAAGCCACCCAGTACCTTTATTCCCAGGCCTTTGGTATCTCCTCTCTTTCCAAAGAAGAGCTGCTGTGGCAGATCCCAGCTTCCTTGCTTTCAAGAATCCCACAGCACTGCCCTACCCACCCGCATCCAGAGACCAACTAGCACCATTCCTTCATGCAGCCACCCAACAGTCATTGAACACCCACTGCATGTCAGGCTCTGGGAAGTAGGATGTGGCAATATATAGATCCCTAAACTTACATCCTGGCCATTAGAGACAGCACTATCCTCACTATCACAGGACTCATCAGAGTCTTGGGAACTCACTTGGAGCAAAGAAAAGTCAAGAGGGAATGATCAGGAGCCTCTGGGATTTCACTATGTCTATGAGGTCTGCTCACACCCAGCTATGTGTGGAAGAAAGATTTAGAGACCAAGGCCAGCTGTTCTTCCCTTTTTCAGAGGAGGAAGTTGAAGCCCCTTCCCCCAGGCGCCTCTAACTCCAGGCTGCCCCCTGCTCCCAAATGCCCAGCCCTTCTGGAGCCACTAAGCAGATGCCCAGCCAGTGGCCTCAGAGGGTGCACACAGGCAGATGTTCTTTTCTTTCAGAGGAGATCATCGGGGGCCATGAGGCCAAGCGCTACTCTCGCCCTTACATGGCCTTTCTTCAGATCTCAAATAAGGGGAAGGAGAACCAAAAATGCAGTGGTTTCCTGATAAGCAAGGACTTCGTGCTGACGGCCGCTCACTGTTGGGGAAGGT